TTAATTTGGAAGCGGCGGGAAAGAAACCTATCATTCTTTTCCCAGTTCCAGTGTTCTCTTGCAGTTTTAGCTCCAAATTGTTTAAGTCTATGAAACCGTCTTTGGATTCGGCTACTTTGATTATCTGGAAAGATAAGAATTGAATTAGTATTCTGTGGACTTGGCGACTATTGTTTTCAATGTTAGCTTTTAGATTAATATCAGTACTTTTAGCGACTGAATGTTGAGGTAACGCCGTCAATCTTGGATTCGAAAGTCACTATAAAATTCTAGCGTTTCCTTTATACTTGAAGGATATTCTAATTTTGTTTAAATATAACTTTACAATCTAGAAAATATAATATTAAAACAGGAAGTGAACTATTATCATCATTAGAGAACTGTGAATGTGCGAATTTTCGTTACTTCAATGATGTCATAGTCTATTTCAGTCAATGCACAGCCAAAATTATACTTCAAATAGCATGCTTACTTCGCACGCTATCTGATGTACAGGTTATTAACCTGCCATTTCTAAAAGATGGGTGCTCCGGTCATAGACCGTTATTATTTCGGACGTTTGCCATCTGATAACATAATACATTACTGTTAATTCTATGGACTATTGAATCGTGGCTTGGATGTCAATTACAGTATAGGATAGTCGCTAGATCCCTGAAAGACTATACTGTCTGTCTAGAAAAGGTCTATTTCTGATGCAGGCTGATGATGAACAGGAAATAGACATCCACAGCATATGACCACAACAATCATCAACAAATTGCCTTTGTCCCTACAGAGGGAGGTACAGTATATGCTGCTCATTCTTACGTTTCTATCAGCCGTCATATCTAAAATCATTCCCCTTTTAAGCATATCCTATTTCACGCAATCAATCCATACTTTCTTCGGTCCACAACATTGGTATATATTTCACTATTACGTTTTTAATTACCCAATGCAACGGAAATTAAAGGACTTCCTTAAATAAAATTACGAGTTAAGTTGTAAAAGCAATTATATTACATTATTCTTGACATTAAGGTCTGAGACTCTAAATGCAAAGTTTATTTGTTCATTATCCATACAAAGAGGCCAAGGTTCAATGTTTGAGGAAGGATAACTACCAAATATGGAGCGTAGCATCTAAGTATTTTGCAAAAATATTTTTTTTATTATTGTTCGTGATATCTTACTTCCTGTCCCCAATATGTTTCCTTATGTCAGAGTAATTGTGTTTATTTTTGTAATTGGTAGAAAAAATTGGCTTCAACTGGTCGAAGTTTTCTTAATAT